TTTCAAAAGTAAGCGGAACTGTGTCGTTTAGAATTAAAAAATACTAATGTAATATCAATCTATGTAGGCACGTTTTCAAAATTAGGCAAAAATGTGTCGTTTTAAATTAAAAAAATACCAACGTAACCTCAATACATGTAACATGCCAACACATTCCTGCCTAATCTTGAAAACGTGCCTGGTCGTTTAAAATTAAAAAAATACAGGCACATTCAAAATTTGGCGGAAATGTGTCGTTTAAGATTAAAAAATACTAACGTAATCTCAATATATGTAAAATTTTACCAGAAACGGTTTCAAATTAGACAAAATGTGTCATTTTGAATTAAAAAATACTAATAAAATCTATGAAGCACTACAGTATGGTTAAAATGTGTTATTTGGCCAACTCCATATTTAAGATAAAATCTATGAACATTACAGTATGGTTGAAATGTGTTATTTGAATTATGCCATTTTTAAGATGAAATCTATGAAACACTACAGTACAGTTGAAATGTGTTATTTGAACTATGCCATTTTTAAGATAAAATCTATGAAAACTCACGGTATGGTTGAAATGTGTTATTACTATGCCATTTTTAAGATAATAAAATCTATGAAAACATTGCAGTATGGTTGAAATGTGTTATTTGAAATATGCTATTTTTAAGATAAAATCTATGAAACACTACAGTATAGTTGACATGTGTTATTTAAACTATGCCATTTTTAAGATAAAATCTATGAAAACATTGCAGTATGGCTAAAATGTGTTATTTTTACATTAATATGGATCCATCTCAGATTGCTCAATGCTGAAAGTGGTCAGATTTAAGGCTGGCAGTTTAGACTACCTCTACCTGTGTGAGGAACCAATATCTGTTTATGAGAAGAAATTTCACGGAGATAAATTAACTAAATGACCTTATGGTAATGATTATTTGGATATAATGTCTCAAAAATCTTAAAGATACCAGGGGGAATCCTTTAATTGAAGTAAATAAACTTCGCAGTGAGTGAGAAGGTATTACTAGAAAATTTTTTTCAACTTTTAAAGGTGATACCTTCTCGCAAAGAGCAAAAGCTTACTCAATCGCATATCCTTTTGCCAGCTGAAGCGAGTTATAAATTAGTCTATCGTGATTTTATTGCGGTCTCGAAAACGATGGCACATTGAAATTGTTAAAATATGATGTGTTTCGCAAGTTATGGCACCAATTAGGGCCTTATATTCAGAAGAAGCGAGAGACTTACTAAAAAAATTCAAAGAACATTTATTAAAGCTAAATTAGAGAGAAATTATTACAACAAAAATACGAAATTAGCAGAGCAACAGAGAAAATTGGTAGATAATAATTACAGCTGATTATTATAGCGTTGATGCTACTGCTCATTACAGTTACGATTGAGCGCAAAACGTTCGCGTTTCCCATTCCGATCAACAAGTAAAAAAATATTTATTATCTTAGTCCACGTAAAGTGCATTTATTTGGTATCCAAAATAAAGCGGTGCGCGAACAAATTAATTACGTTCTCGATGAAGATGAAATTATCGGCAAAGGCCGTAATCGCCCATTTTTTAAAAACGAAAGATACTCGTCCCTAAATCAGTATAATAAATTAACTAATTAGAAATTTGTTAGGGAGGGAATAGAATACAGGGAATCTTGCGCAAACTTTAACAAAGACAAGAAGTATTTTGGAGTACTTTTATTTGAAAGCTTTAAGCATTAATCTGATCAGTTAAAGTTTCTTACCCATTATAGGGACTATTTACTAGAAGCAAAGGTCGAAGGAAGTTGATATAAAAATGATATAAACTTTTTATAAAAAAATATTTAAATAAAAGAAATAAAAAAAAAGCTATGGTAAACGTTATAAATAAACTCCAAGATAAAGAGAGAAACAAACAATTACTAAATAAAATTGAGTTTCTAAAAAACAATTAACTGATAAAAATAAAGTAAGTGAACAACTACAAGAAATCTCAAAAGAAGAATTTGATGGTTTACTCAGTTTCATAAAGAGGTATACAGTAATTGCTCCTTATATTAATCTGACGTATTAGTATAGTTGAAGATAATACTAATAAGTGAAGGGTAGGAGGAGGTGGCACAGACTGAAAATCGAGACTTGATTCACTCTCAAAAAAATGATGCATTGATATTGACCCATTGCCAGTGCTTGATGTTTAGATGAGGGAAAATATTTAGAGGCTAAAAATGAGATTAGTATTAGTACTATCGCACAATTTAATCTTGCTTGGTGTTTTGAAAGTAGAACTGGAGTGGCAAAAGCTGAACAAAGGGCTGTTGAATGGCTGCAGAACAAGGATTTGTTGCTGCACAATTTAATCTTGGTTGGTGTTGTGAAAGTGAAACTGGGATAGAGAAAATGAAAAATTAGCTATTGAATGGTATCAAAAAGCTGCGAAACAAGGACATGTCAAGGCACAGTCTAATCTTGGTTTGTGTTATCAGTATGGAAGTGGAGTGGAGAAAATGAACAGAAAGCAACTAGGTGTTTCAAAAGACAGCTGAAGAACAATATTGGTTGGTCAATATTAATATATGATAACTGGAATATCAACCCTTTTTTTCTAGTAAGACAGCTTTCAAGTTTCTCAGGAATACCATTATTATTATAATTATACAACATTAATTATAATGGTATAAAAGGCTCATAACCTAAACCATAACATTTTGGCCTGGGGTATGGGGGTGGATCTTACATAAAAGGAAGAGCAAGTCTTTTTCTTCTGAAAGAAAGGATCATACTACATTGAAATTTTTCAGAAACACTTATTAGATATTCAACAAATGTTTAGTGCTTTCAGAAAGACAATGATTCTAAGCATACTAATACTAATTGCTTCATATTCTAATTCAGGACGTCTTTAAGCTGAGGTCATTGACTGGTCATTCAATAGTCCAGATCTCAATCCTATTACTATATAATAAAAAAATTTAATGGAAAATTGTTAAGAGAAATGGTGACCAGAAAATCTAAATCTTGATAACTTGCATGGTCAAAATGGACCATATTAATGACTTAGACTGTTAATAAAATTTAATAGAATAAATCACAACGAAAAGACAATGCAAAGCAATTACTGAGAAAGGTGGTGAATGAATTCAATTTTGATTATTTGTGACATTAATTGTTACTATTACTGGAATATAATATATAATGGAAAGAGATGAAATTAATATTAAGAGGTGTTTATTAACCAAAACTCAGAGGGCTCTTTAGATTAAGAGTTGTAAATTCAAGGGCTCCTGGTAACCAACTCACTAGTCAAAATTAAGCAAGTAAGGGAGAAGAAGGCAAGTTTTTTTCCCATACTAATACTAATACTAATATTGTATACTGTATTAGTATATAAGATATTCAACCATCAATGTTTGATAACATTTATTATGTTTGCTATACTAATACTGTATTAATATTAATATTAATAGTTTTTTTGGAAACATAATATAAATAATAAACATATTAATTAAATATAATAGAATATTTAATTGTATCAAAAATTATAATAACATTATCACGTGATCATAGAAGTCCAAAAATAACAAAAGATAGACAAGTATTACACAGAATTCACATCAAATTCATGCTTCAACCAACATTCTCTCAACTCTATAATTATATAATTATACATGTATTACACTATGACATCCTTCCTTATTTATCACATTGTCTTACGTTGTGTTACATTTGTATTACTTGCTATAGGCTAATCCCTTAGTCTTACTCCTCAAACTCATTTAGCTTCTTTTCCTCCCTCCGACTACAAACGCAATTCCTGATGTGCAACTAACCATACCCTCGCCAACTTCCTACTTACACGCACAACAACGCAGCAACCATAATCACACGCATACCACTTACCATGCCAAAAACTAGAAGCAAAGCGAACAAGAAGATCAACAGTGATGGTGAAGACATAGCAACGGCTGACATACGCGACTCTACGACGCGACATACGCGTGAAGAGTTGATTGTCGTTGTACCGCCTGTATCACAAAGAATGAGAGCTAGGAGAATGATCAGAATATCTGAATCGGAGGAAAGTGACGTTATCGTGGTCGAAGGAGGAGAAAAGAAGGACGAAGATGAGGTAGGTCTGAAAAATGATTTTAGAACATGAATAAGATAATGTATATGAGATGAGACAATTTAGAATTAAGGAAGCGAGCAAAGAGAGGACATTGTATGCTATATAAGCAGATAAATGATCTAAGTTGCATCAACATTAATCTGAACACGTGCTACAACATTTCATAATTTCATGCTTCGTTTGCACATACATACTATGACACCCACCAGTCACACATAGATACCTCTGAAGATGAAGAATATAACTCAGGTCATTCTTCACCCAGTTCAACGTCATATACTGCTTCTTTCCAATCTACAATTCGATCACTATCGTCAGAAGAACATGAACAATCGCCGACAAGACCCAAACGGCGTGCGGCCAAAAGGAAAATAAACTATAACGAAGAAGCTGCTTACAAAGTTTTAGAGAACATTGTACCCGAGGCAGCCAAGATTAATGGAGTGGAAAATGCAGGCGGTGACAGTGAAGAAGAGGCTTACGTCGAGGTATCCAGTGACACTCAAAATAATATTAACCCCTCCTTAAAACGCAGAAAATCCCACCGAGACACAATACATGTGCTCTCTTCATCCGATTCTGAGTGTCATAAAAACACTAGCTCCGCCTCTGATAATACGACTATCGGTCTATCCAGAATACGGAGAAAAGGGCGTACAAGAGTGAAGTCCTCTAGTGACGATGAATTGAAGCCTATGGACGTTGATGAAAATAATAGTGAGGAGAAAGGCAAGAAAAAAAACAAATTATTACGAAGCAAAAGAAGATTACGTAACTCAAAAGAAAACGATAGTGAAGCCGATAGAAACAAAGAAACGGAAGACCATGATGAATCAAGCGATGACGACTTCGTTCCTACAAAGTCTCGCAAACTCACCGTTGCATCAA